CCCTCCTCACTGCTTCCTTCCCCCCACTCCTCTGCCTGCAGCCAGACGGATTCAAGATATTAGTAATGCACGGTTCTCTCGTCCGTTGAGTGAGCATATACCGGTGCTGCCTCTATCTCTCTCAGTGTACAACCTATAATTAATGCAGTTGAATTTACATATGGGTCAGCCATCGCGACAATTCAACCAGACGATTAGTTTTGTGTTCTTTGTGGTCGTTTTAATCCTTCTGGACGTCTTAGGTAAGAACTTTTCGCATTTGTATTAGTTTTGTACAGTAGTTACTTTCAGATAATGAGTTTGTTTTCACAATATTCTTATATTGTCTATATAGTTAGAAAAGAATCAATTATTATTATTATTGAGGGCTTCCGGGTGTAAGCTGTGTCCTTACGGAAAGAGTATTCCTATAGAATAAGAATTATTTGATCTGTTTAATTGAGAAAATTAAAAACTGATGTGATAATAGATCATAATCAAGCATGTGACCACTTGTATGTCAAATGTATATAAGTACATGTGTTAATATTGTGGAAGAGGTTGTCTTCAAGCAATAAACATTTTCTCTCGTCGCACTTTTAGATGTCATTTTATACGAATACAGATACAAAGTTTTTGTTACATACTTCGATGGTATTCCTAGTTAAATCTGTTCCGCGAAGGCAAAGAGGGAAAAATGATGTGGTTGGAACGAATGGGGAAATTATTCGCGAGAAAGGGGTCGTTTTATCTCTGACACTCTCACGGTTTCGTCGTGACGCGTACTTCCTCTCAATTTTTCAACGGAAGATGGGGTATTCGTTTCGCATTAACACAGAGCATTGGCCTCACGATCGAGGACGGATTTGTTTGGTGATTAGGTCGTTCGTATTAGTACCAGTGGCGACATCTGTGGCGCGAAGAATGCGACGTCGACATGTTGAAGTTTAACTTCGTTTCGTGAATGACTTCCTTGTTGAAACTAGGGTTAGTGATTAATGACATTGCTTATCTCAGATGGAAATACTCAAATTTATCAAAGTTATCTTGAAATTTATCGTGGATTATTGTGTTTTTATTCGACTGTCGTTGAAAAGTTTGAGGTTATCGTTTATATTCTATTCTTTTCGAATCTTTAAACGTTAGAAAATATTGTCAATGGAAGCTGCAAAACATGTGTGCCCTTTTCGATGTATTATTAACCAGGTTTGAATAATTCAAGCCTTCGTATTAATAACACTTTCGAAAATAGTAGGATAGAAGGGTAGAAGTTTGAAGGGTATTTCTACCTTTTAAATTCGAGCCTCTCGTAGGTTGGAAGGGTACGTGTCCCTTAATTTTAACACGAGCCTCTTCACACGGTTATACGATTCCATTAATCCTCGTCAATGACGTCGATTAACGTGTTCATATAAGAGCCACTTTTCTCGTGCACTTCAGTAAATTGTTAATATTTCATAGTGAAATAGCATGTACTTCTTAAATTACGTAACAAATCAGAAAAGTTTTCGAGGTTATGTTACTATACAGGCTGTTCATCGTAACAAACGCCACGATATTTTAAACAATTTTGATAATTTGACAAAAAAAGTTATAAACAAAAATTAGCACTCAGTTGGTAACAACTTGCACTAATAAAAATTTCCAAAAAACTTTCAATAAAAAATCAATCACACACTTTCTCATTTTTAAATGATGCTATATAATTTTTTCTATCCCGTATTATAGATGGCATCGAGACAAATTCAGCCATTTCAGATATAATTGTTTTCTTTCAATAATTTGCTTAGAGTTAAGATTCCTTATTACATAATTCAAAGATACTTAACAACAAAATGTAAACAGTAAACGATCTTGTTTTAGAACCTAACCTCTTCCCATGGTATTAACGATATTGAAGATTCTAAATGTTACTGGTTCCCTCTACATGATCGACGCATCGGCGTATGTCGCGCGACAGTAAACATTTCTTCCATGGGAGAGGGCAGCAGATACTTACAACCGACGGTGTATAACAACCGGTCCCGCGGCACACAGGACGAATGGTAGCGCGCGCGACGTATCGCCTGGACGCTTTGGAATTAAGTTTCATAATTTCCCCGGGGCAGCTGGGATCCGCGGGAATAATGCAATTGTTCCGATGCCATAATTTAAAAAGTTGGCCCATTCGTCGGCGCCCAGGGCGCAATCACCGGTAACCGCCCCCTCCGCGATATCCTTCCGGAAGAGGCTTCATGTTCTTGGAAATAACGTCGAGCAGCCAAACGCTATTCATTAGAATAAGAAGTTATTGACAGAATATCGGGATAATCGTAGTGCTTCTAGACTTTTCTCAGTGAAATATAGCAATAATATTATGTGTTTGTTTACGATTTTAACGATTTATTACTGGATTCGGTTAGGTTAAGTTACGTAACGTAGCGATTCTGCTGTCAATACTTCTCATATATATTACTTCCTATCTGCTATATAACTGGCTTTTTATTATTCACAAGTATCACAGAAAGGTAAATTAAAAGTGTCGATAAAAAAGGAGCACACTGGACATTGATAGGTTAAGTATGCAATGTGTATAGAATTTGTTCCCGAATGTTAAAAAATTTAAGAACCTACACTGCCAAATCATTTAAATAATTTCTCTAATCACTTGAACTACAACTTTTCTAACACAAACACATACATACTTCTCTTGCCGATTATAATAAACACAAACTCGCCTTCGTTTTTCAGCCGATTGTCCCGATCCGAACTGCAGTGGCCACGGCGCATGCGTAGCAGGCAAGTGCTACTGCAAGGCAGGCTGGCAGGGGGAGCGCTGCAATCAGGTCGACCAGCAGGTGTACCAATGTCTACCACGTTGCTCAGATCACGGCACGTACGACCTCGAATCCGGAAGCTGCGTGTGTGAGGGACATTGGACCGGTGTGGACTGTTCACAGCCGAGCTGCGGCCTCGATTGTGGACCACATGGAACCTGCGAGCAGGGTCTATGCAAGTCAGTACACGTTGTATACATCGCTCTACCTGCCGTCATTACCATTCTCCATGTTTATGGGTCCTTCGCGACCTGGAACTGGGTTACGCGTATACAGTGTGAAGTCTCCCTGGCTCTTGCTCTCTTCATTCTTGTTTGAGTTTAGATCCGCGAAATTTATCTTATAGAGATCTTAATTTTATGTGAATTTGGGGGGTTTTGGTCAGGCGTGTGGGACGTGTATCGAGATAAATTGAGTTCGTTTAAAAGTTTTCGAGGTTAGGTTAAAATATTAGATACTTCGTTTGGGATTTGAGGTTAGGTGGAATGTTAGACTCGTGGAGGAATTATAGGAGCTTTATTTTTTTATAATTGAATCTGCGTTTTGTATGAAAAAAGAATTAGATATTTATAGGTTAGAGATAGGAATTAACGATTATTGTAAGTAAATTATTTGGTAGGACATTTGTATATATTTCCTTTTCCCGCGTTTTTCTGTATATACGAGTAGCAAGAAAAAAGTGAAGATTTCATCGTCTGAAAACTTTTTATTCTACTGAAACCTCATCTAAAATCAATTGACCACTACAGTCGATACCACAAGTGACTTTCTTGTGCTCCAGTTCTACCATGTATGTATGTACTTCGATTGTTCCCGGGTTAGTACGCACTGTCTTCAAAACAAACAGTAGAACAATGTAAATACAAACATTAGAGACAAGAGATAAAATGACAAAGCATTTCACCTAATAGTAGAAGGGGGATTTACTTTTCACCGACCTTGAACAACCAATTGATTTCTACGAAACACTCTTCACCTTAAAAAAAATGATGCGAAAATAATTTACCAAATATTTTTTTATTCTTTATTTATTTACCTTTCAAACCAATTTTAAGACTCAAAGAATCCTAACCTATATTTCACATGATTATAACCTTGATTGATTCAAATCTGTTTATTATTTTCGTGTTAGATTCACGTGGAAAGTCGTTCAAAGAAACTTTGACCGAGTTTATCCCGTCAAGTTATGGCAGTTTAAGCGAAAAAAAATTCTTGACGTACCGGAATCCTAAACGAGAATAAGGAGAGGCGGATCAGAGAACGGGGGGAAGGGGTGGTGGTTAAAAATGAGTAAATTGCTGGCGAGATCGGAAGCACAAAAGTCGAGACTAAGGAGGTGAAAAATTGCGAGAAAAAGGCTCTGTCTTAGGGTGGCTGCCAACTTATCACGAGTCGAAGGACCCTCCCCCCTCCTACCAAGCGTCCCTTTGTCAGAATCAAGGACGCGAAAGAGGATCTCCTTTCTCATATTCTAAAGCTGACGCCACCTCTCGTTCCGCCTCCCACCCCCCATTCTTGTTCCGTGAAAGAGCACCAACCAGTGCAAAAAGTTCCCCTCGGTAAGGAGGTGGACGAGTTCGAAACTGAACGGGGGAACTCGTGTCAGTTTTCCGCTCTCCTAAAGGATTCCACGCGAAAGAAATCAGTTTTGTATTGTAAGAATTTGTAAGAATTTGTAAGAATTTTAATAAGAATTCTAGAAGTACAGGGTTGTTAAAAATATCGGTGTAAATTGTACAGATTAACAGAACTCGATGAAGCCAGAGAAAACGTTGGAAATGTATAGTCGATGGAAGAAATGTAGCGAGATCGTAAAATCTATCAGACATTAAAGTCGATGGAAACCTATATGTAACTAGGTCACTACTTCAATTCTTTTTTTTTTTTTTAATTCAGAATTATATTTTCCTCAAATATACACTACCGGCCAAAAGTTTGGAATCACTGAGCATTGCAATTTACACAAAAATATCCAGAAAAAAGTCAGCGACTTTGAGAATTTTTTAATATTCGAATCAATTGATATGAAATAAATTGATAAATGTAGAATGGAGATAAACTTCAAATCTATAAAAAATTAGCAGCAGATTTAATATTGATGAAAAGTGGGATGTGATTCCAAACTTTTGGCCGGTAGTGTATGTATTAGGTCATCTCATAAATTCGTGTCGAATTTTATAATTTAGGTCAATATTTCCAACGAATTTTTAAATTTTCTAAAAAAAAGAAAAAAAAAACGTAGGCACCTTTTCGTTCCACAATTTTTTTTTCCTATTTTTTTTATTTTGGTAGGATCATTATGTCATCGCTATAGAATTTCCTTGGATTTTCATTCAAATATTTTTCACGTTTGGCACGAACTTATGGAGTGACCTAATATGTACATCACTATTATTGTTTAAAAATAAGTGACTTTATTATTTACGTTATGTTTTATGAACCAATATATGAGTCCATCGCTTTCAAAGAGATAATGCTTTAATCAACGATCTTACTATATTTCTTCCACCGACTATACTAATGTCATCTTTGTCTCGACTGCCCTCTTGCGCTTTTTTCAGGAACCCTGGTGATCTCTGAATAACGTATTTCTCAACGTTGTAAGTCGGTACTTAGGGAAATTTTCGTATTCAGGTGCAACGATGACTGGACTGGAACGAAGTGCGACCAGAAACCGTGCGATCCACGTTGCGCGGAACATGGTCAGTGCAAGAATGGAACCTGCGTGTGTAGCCAAGGGTGGAACGGGCGACATTGCACGCTGCGTAAGTGGAATAAAACTGTTGTCATTTTAGTGTGATTAAGGTTAAACTGCAAATTTCTTTTATTCGCGAAAAAATTTGGTAAATTAGTACACTCTGTATATATGTACATATAATTGAGAAATATAGATTTTATAGTTTGCAAACTAAATTTTCATTTAAATTAAAATTTAATTTATTTTTTCTCATTTATTTACTTTATCGTAGAGTTCTTAGAGTCATTCGTAAAATTATTAGAAATCAGTCAAGTAGGAATTTGGAAATTTCGTGTTCTTTTAGATGTAGAATAAACCTGAAGAGAGTGCCAAGTAGAAAATGTCAATGTTTGGTCAGACAATCTTACATCTCTGCTAGTACGAGAGAGTACATAGTAATGATATAACTATGTCTATAAACATAGTACTACAAAAAGGAAGAAACCAGTGATTGTAGTAAATAACAGCAACCTAATCTAACCTAAATTTTTATTTGCAGTATATAATTAATTAAACGTAGATTTTCCAACTAAAAATCTGACAAATTTTGAAAGTCATTGGAATGCCTTATCATTTAAACATTCAACTCTTAACCTAACCTAAAATTTTATTAACAATCACAATCAAACCTAAATCTTCCAAATAAAAATATAACAAATTTCCATTATTTTCACTTTACAAAAACACAAACACACTTGTCTCTTAACCTAACCTAACCTAAATTTCTACTAACAATCAAACCTGAATCTTCCAAATAAAAATGTAACAAACTTCCATTATTTTCAATCAACAAAAACACAAAAGTCACTGGAATACGTTATCGTTTAACCTTTCACCTCATACATGACCTCAAATTTCCATTATTTTCCATTAACAAAAACATAAAAGTCACCGGAGCGTAATGTGTATTTTTCCAACGGGAATCACGCGTATCGTTTATTCGAGGAACACGAGAGAGAAGTAGAAGGGAAGGGTATCGGTTTTCAATTAGCTTCGATCGTTCGCCGATATCTTGAATTAAAACATTCGCCTCCCGTTCCCTTGACAGCTGGATGCGAGAACGGCTGCAGTCGGCACGGACTGTGCAACCTCGAGGATGGCGAGTACAGTTGCGACTGTTCAACCGGCTGGGCGGGCAGAGATTGCAGCATTAGACTCGAAATGGAATGTAATGACTTTATTGACAACGATCAGGGTAAGTATCGAATATATTCGAAAGGGAAACATAGAACGAAAGATAACGAAGAGCGTTCACTTGTTATTAATATTATTTTTATTTACTCATTTGTCTATTCCCTATTTTTCTGTATAAAGTATATCGTAGACAGAGAGTAGAGAAAATGTTGATTGTTCAGTTAAATGAGAAATCAAATTGAGAAACAGGTATGGTAAGAAAATTCAATCGAAAAGATGTTATTGAAAATTAATTTTTGTATTTTTCTTATCTCTTTTCCTTTGAAATCTTCATCTTGTGTCATTTCTAGAAATTCCGTTAAATAGTAAAGGGAAATTTTTGAAGTCTGTATAAATAAAAAGAAGAAAATTATATACATCTGAATGTATAGAAAACGCATGAAAGTATTGAAAAGTTGAATAAAAAAATGAAAAAGTTTCAATAAAATTCCACTGTTGTCCAAAACCTCTTTAACCCTTAGTTGCTTGAACGACCACTGGCGGCGCTCATTCAAACTTTTTACCATTTAAATTTCGACATAAACATTGCAAGCAATTAAACTCACTGCAATTTTTTCCCATTTTTTTTTTTCAAGTATTAAATCCCGAATCAAAATAAAAAAGAATTACGAACTAAACTCACTGTAATGTTTTTCTCTTCTTTCTTTCAAGGTATTACCTCCCAAACGAAAGTAAGAAGAAAAAAAAAATTGCACATGTTTGTAAAAGGGTTAAAGAAGCTGGTGTGTTATAATGTGAAAACGATTAATCTAAAGAAGGTATAATATTCCTCAGATGGCATGATGGACTGTTCTGACAGCGAGTGTTGCTCGCACGCAGGTTGCACAGAGCATATCATGTGCCTTACTAGTAATAATCCCGTGGACGTCCTCCTCCGCAAACAGCCGCCCAGCGTGACCGCGTCCTTTTACCAGCGCGTGAAATTCCTCGTTGAAGAGAACAGCGTACAAAGCTACGCTCATATGAACGAATACACCGAAAGGTAAGATCGATCACTTCTTCTCTCACACCGTTTTCTATATAACATATTCAGGCATCCTTCTTAATATTTATATATATAGATATAGATATATATATACATATATACTTTATTTTTACGATTTACAAATTTACGTTTAACAGGATGATTGCGTTTTAGGCAAACGAGCCAGTCGTTAATTTCCAAGTAAGCTTTTCCTCGAAGAAACTTGTTCTTTATTCGTCGATTGAACGAGAAGATTAATTAGAGAATGTGTGCTGGTTACTTGAAGAGGGGAAGTCTAAAGGGCAAGACTTGAATGTGTTTTGCTGGAAGACTTTTGAAGCTATGAAGTTCTCTTTACGTTTCTCTATTGGCGACTAGGGAATTTTGTGATTTAAATTAGCAGCCATGTTTTGTGACGGAAAATGTTTTTTTCTTTTTTGGTATTTATATGGAAATTAGTGGATTCATTTTGAGGTTATATCGAGAATTGTATATTTAAAAAGTGTTCTAAATAAGTTTCCTCTTTTTGTGGTGTATTGTAGTGAAAAAGAATTTGCATATTTGTAAAATTTCGAGGAAAAAATCATTTTCCAGGCGTTATTTCACTTTCCTTGTCTCTCCGTATTTGAAAATTTCAAAAGGAAATAATTACGAACGCGTTATTTTTCTTTCCTTTAAAATTACTATATTTAGTAGCATTCTGAAAATTCCCCTTGATCCTTCGTGAAACTTGAAAAAATTTCATGCATCTCAGAGTAATCTAAGCTTCAAAAGCTCCGAAAGGAACGTTCAGTTACTACTCCCTCGTAAGTAAAAGAGAGAGAGAAGAAGAAAAGAAATTCAATTTTAAAATAACGGGGTAACGACTGGCTCGTTCGATACTCGTCGATACACGTACCGTTTAACTAATGAAAGAGGAGAACAAGAAAAAAAATCAGAAAGAAAACGTACAGCATAGCTGCGTATCATAGTTTTTGGCCTTTTACAATTTCGAATGCGTTTTTGATATATTACGCGGCTGTGTTACTTTCCTCGTTTTTATCATCCACGAGAACTGCGCAGATCATTGATTTCATTCAGAAAGGTGTTTTTTTGTTTGCCTGTACGGGGCACGTCCGGTGATGTTGTTTCACATATGGAGAACAGCCCGGGAGTAAATATCTATCTATGTACATATATATATTGTACATATACACGTATGTGCAGTGTGTACTTTATATATACATGCAAAATGAGAGAGAAGCATCGTATCATTCGAGAAGCGTTTTTGATCACACAGAGACGATGGTTCCGTCGAAAAGTTTTATTCTCATGTGTTTCATATTTTTTCTTTTTTTTCCGGCGAGGATTCACGATGGGGTGAAATATAAACCGCACAAAGAATTATCATCATTGCTAATCTTTCGTACTATTTCACACATTTCTCCGATTCGTTGCGAGAAAATTGATATTATTTCTTTTATTATTTAAATATCCTGTTTATCGTTAGAAGATTATTTGAAAAAGAGATATACGTCGCGGTACTTGTTAAATACGATTATAAAAAATGTCGAATCTTTTTTTTTTCTGCTTTATAAATACATAATACGATCCAGAAGTGTTAAGGTTAGGTTCGAAAAATTTTTAATTTACATTGAAATTCTTTTTATCAGACCTAACGTGTTTTCCCCATCGTGAACAACTTTTCAGTGACAAAAATGGAAAGAAAAAAAAAGGAAAGAAAGAAAGATTCAATCAGATTTAGTTGTACCGCCATGCCAAACAATCCGGTATATATCCGTGACAGCTGAATTATCAAGAGAGCCCCCGGTGGGTGACAACCCAGCCAACCCTCTAACCATCCTATTCCTCGTGTTTCACCCCCTCCCACCCCCGAATGCCGAACGCGTCAGTGATCATCTCGGAAGCATTGTCGATCAAAGGAGCTTCCTCGCGTGCAGCATCTGATATTAATTACTTGCAATTTCGTCTCGTTTAATCCCTGATAATTTTTAAAAATATCCGGGATACGAAACTTCATGGTTGCATCTACATCTTGAAAATGACAAAGAAGTTGCGATAAATGTAGATTCGAAGATGTTAAATATGTGATTAGTTTAAATTACGATATAAGACAGATGAGAGAATTTGAGGTTAGTATGATATATATATATATATATATATGGGATTGAACAGGTAAATGTAGTTGCTTGGATAGTGTTTGGTAAGTAATCAATATTTGTCAAAATTTTCTCTGCTCTATTGCAGTAGAAGTCAATGTACACTTTAAAATGAGACATTGACACTTTTGTACAAAATAATACTAAAAAATTCCTTTATTATAGCACTCTTCGTTTAATTTCAAGATGTAGAATATTTGAAACCGTCTCTATAACCCAATTTTCTATTCGAAATAACTCTCAGATATATCAATTTTACATTAACGAACACAATTATCCAGTAGAATATTATCCTTTGTGTCACATTACCTACAGAGTACATAAACCGCACTACTAACCACTGAGCTTGCTCTTTCACTATACGTAAAGAAATAAACAGAGCTCTGTCGAGTATGTTGCGGTTGTGAGTTACCGAGGCAGCACGCTAAGCGGATAAAAGCGGGCGAAAAACATTGGAGTCGTCGCGCTCGTGTTCACGGTCAGCATGTCCTTTGTTCGACACTGATGAAGATTTGCTCGGGACGCGTGCTGGCCGACGCACATCGGTGCCGGCCGCGAGCGCATTTCGGGGGATTCGTGTATTTTGTCTAGTGTTTATCCTCTGTGTGTACCCTTGCCACCAACCAGATCACCATTCACCCTATAGCCGAAGACCGAAAGAGGCTCCGTTTTACGTACAGACTGTGAACGAACAAAAAAAAAAAAGAAAAAAAGTCAAAAAAGAAAAGAAATACAAAAAAATATGATAGAAAAACAAGAAGTCTGCACACGGAGGAAATGTTCGAAAGACTTGATTTTCGGTTATTCTCGGTCGGTAACAGAGAGTGGATCAAGTTCCCGCGCGAAGTTTATTTTTTTTTCTAAAATACAGCTTCCAGGCACCGCGTGTCTGTTTAGTAAACAAACGCGTGCATTACCAACGGAGTAATACCTAATAACGGTAACGCGATAAGCAGACCGTGTCGTTTTCCAAATTTCTCTTGTGACTTACCAGCTATTTTCGGCCATTTGTTTAATAAGCAGTTCACCGACAATGGGAGATTCATAGATAAAGCGCACGGGGGCAGTCGAGTCGCGGTTTTCGTCGAGTGTAACGAACACTTTTTAAACGATTTCGTGAAACAGATTTGTATCGTACTTTGGACACGTATGACGCGAAGAAAGATTGATGCATGATGGATTCCGGGAATCGATCGCCCCCGAGTAAAATTATTTCTAGAAATGGTAGACACAAGTTTGAAATCTGTCGCGGTTCGGTCCGTTTTCTCGCGCGTCCACACGCAGGAAGTTCTCTACCACGAGAAATGGAACGTTCCTGCATATGATACATGACAGTTCCGTGTGTGTACCCGAGAAAGAGACGTACGGAGAGCGGAACGGAAGGTTTTTGGTCCTGTTGTGTTGCGTCCATTGTTTTCGCCGCGGTATTAATCACTAGATTTCCTCCGAGCACCCTTGCCGTCGCCTTGAAACGCTTCTTTCACTTCGATCCAACGGGATAAAGCGTTTTTTGTATATGCTTTTATGTACGCAGCAGCCTTCGCTTAGGAGGTTATGACCGTGTATTTCGACGGTTGAAAAAACAGTACAGGCTTGTACAGTTTGCTTTGAAACTAGCTAGAATTGATGTGGCGCGCTTTAAAGTGAAATTAATACGTATATGGTGGTAAAGGAGTGAACGGTTCTCTGTGAACAAATCGGTTAAAATTGTGTGTGAGGTTATGAGCTTTGGACAAAGGAAATTTGAAATGTTGATTTTTACAGACTGCTTGTGTGCTGGTTAAAATGTTTTTATTAGCGATGACAGATTATTTTTGAGACTTATATTTTTATAGTGTAAATTACATTATTATTACAGCACTAACATCATTATCAGTTTTTTCCGTCTTAAAAATTTTTCAACAATTTCATTTACGAAAGCGTTCCAAAAACGGACGTACCGAAACTGAAATAAGCAATGACTCTTTTTCACCAGAATTATTCGATAAAAAATCAGAATTTAACTCAAAAATCACTTTCGTCCAAAATGATACATACTCATTTCCCAAGATCAACATATATTCACAAAAAACCGTCCTTTACCCAACTATACCGTTAATTACTATATCACTCATAGAGAACGCATTTAACACACCAGTCAACTCAAACGTAAAAAAAAAACTCACAATCAACACCAACTAACCCGGTCACCCGCATCGCCAATTCTTCACTGCTATAAGGAATAGGGCGCGTTCTCAATGGGGAACGACCGGTGGAGAACGCTCCACCCCTCTCCCCTTCGAATGGAATCTCGAGCGGACAGACGGCGTACAAGTATCCCGGTGAATCAGAAATTCAGGCTGGCGTCGGGATTGCTCGGACAGCGTAATCAATATTCGAAGATCGTCTGCCGACATGGCAGTCCGGCTCCGATGGAATCTCTTCTTATTGTCAGTCCGGGTCGACCGATGCCGATAAGAGGATCCTTCGAGCCTGGCGCTGTTACTCTCGACTCCTCGATACGAGACGGAAATCGAGTCGATGTCGAGTCGAGAATGCTGAATTCCAAACGAAATGTCTCGTTAACGCGTGTTGTGTATACTGCCTATATATGTCGAACGCGCGCATCGTTCCGTTATTTACGCGAAAACGCGCTCTGGGAGCTCTCCATCTCTTTCTCTCTATTTATTCTTTCATATATATATATATATATATGTATTAATCGTACTATATACAGATGTGTGTGCGTAGTTTCCAACTTGTGTCTGTCACGTGTATTACCACTCTATGTTGGATGAGTCTGCGAGTGACTGCATTCATGTGGCGTGACTGGGCGAAGACCGCGTGTATGTGTGTTGGGTACGCTTGATTAGTGTGTGTCTACGTCTATTGTTTCTGTAACGGCGTGCGGAACATTGCGATGGAGCACTCGATTCTCGCGTATAGG